CCAAAATTCTAATCAAATAAGATATAGAATTCTAGTCAACCTAAAACTCAACACTATCCGAGATATATCTCTTGCCTGCGATTTACCTTGTGATCGTATTCAAGGTTAGGGCTTCAAATTTGTGACTAATCACAGCCTTTGGGTTTGCATCTGGTCCATTTTTCTTGCAAAACAAGTACAAATTTTTTATAAATGCATTGACCTCGAAATCTAGTACATGCTTTGATGTCTCAAGTCTATGGCTAGAGAGAACTTCGACCACAGCTAGTTTTCTTGTCTCACGCCAATACTCTCCGTAAGGAGCAAAGCCAAATCCTGCCATTGATCGTATCTTAATTATTTCTGCATTGGATTTTTGGGCCGACTTAGCTAATACCCTGTCGTTAGTAGTGAAGCACTCCTTGACTGCTTCATGATTGCTGATGATAAGGGCAGGGAACGCTTCTAATCGAATTGAGAAGATTGGGCCATATTTGTAGGCCATGGCTCCCAAGGTTTGAGCAAGGGTGCGTTGGCCGCCAAGTAGGTGAATGTGCCCTATGAATGGCAAGGCACCCGAAGGTTCAGGGGCTAATAAAATGCCCTTATTTTGGTGGTTGGGAGTTCCCTTCTTCCATAGTTTGTAGAATAGTACCAATCCAAGAAACCCTGTAATTGCAAATAGATGAGACGAGAAAACCATTTTTTTATGCCTGAAGTGCAAAGTGAGAGGGATGGTGGCAAGATTAAGGGTAACTCATTGTTCGATTTGATTTTCAATTTGTTTATAGCAATTGGAGGAAATTAGTCAATTGAATGGAGCATTGCTTGAAAGTCATACATGATTGGGCCTTTTGATAATTTCTCTTACTAGTTTTGGACTAAATGACTGTAGATGCTATCATTGCAAACAAATTTAATCTGGACTAGTAATTTTCAACATGTAACAATCTTTACCACTTGTTAAGGCCCACCACATCACTTATTACTATGAAATTTGTAACATTCTACGCCATCTAATTACGCAACGTCCTTATTGCACTGGCTTTTTACCCGTAGAGGAGAGGGGCTCTTATACTAGTCGAGCTCTATCTCGACCCTTGTATCTCTCATGAGAGCCCACATCAGTGGAGATTTGAGTCTACTCTGATATTACTTGTCATAAGGCCATTCCCCTCTTCCCAAATGGCTAACCTGATGGGGTGTGTAGTGCCACCACTTATAAGCCACTGGAGACTCTACTTACTCGATGTACGATTTTTGGAAGCACCTTGCCTATTTCCTTTCTAAAGCACTAAGCGTGACATCTTCAACCACCTAATCCAACGATGCCCTCATTGTTGTTGGCCATCCTAGCTACCTCCCCTTAAAGGTGCTTGACGTGGAATTGGGTCAAGGTCGAGTAGGCTCTAATAACAAATGTTAAGGGCTAAAACTTAGGCTTAACCTTATTGGCCTTAAGTGTTTTATTTGTAAAGGTTGACCTTTTAACCCTTGGGAGTTGATCTTTTTAGTTCCAAATGCTACTCTAAGACTTTTGTTGTGGAAGGATTGACCTTCTTTTCCTTAGGGGTCAATCCTGACATTTCTACAAGCTAACTAAGGCTTAAATGCTTTTAGGGGTCGACCTTGTTTGCCTATGGATCAACTTTTCGTCCTTTAACTTGCAAATACACATTCCTTTAGTTTTCTTTTGCCCTTATTCTTTCAACTGTCATTCTTTCACAATTAAAACATTATATGAAGGATACAGATAAAACTACTTAGTTGGGAAACCTCATCCAACAACTGTTAAAGAAATAGCTCGATTTGTAGATCTCAATTGAAAAATTTCCTACCTACACTTAGATGAAAGTTAGGTTTCATAGCATCTTAAGAGGGGGGGATTTAGTTATTTGGTTTGGGGAAAAATGGGAGAAATGGGGAAGAAGCTTGATCATGCTTCTTTTAATTTGAATTAAAATAGACCAGCTATAATTAGTTAGATATTTCCGTTGATAATTCGATTGGAAGATGAGTTTACCAATGGAGTTGTTTGTAGATAAAGTTGGTGCCATTTTCTATTTTTGATGCTTAACCTAATACTGATCGAATACATGCCAATTTGATTGTCGATAAATTTGATTGGCATTTCATCACTATTCCATCAATACATTCCTCCCAATATGGAAATCAATATTTGGTTGGTTTTCCATTGGTAAATTTCGACAGAATTTCAATGATGGTATGAATTCTATTGGTGAAAATTTGTGTTTTTTTTATAGTGGTAAAACACTAACAAAAACTCCATCTCTCATATAAAAACAACATAGAAGTTGATCTCTTTTATAATTCTAAAAGGCTAAAACCTACTTCACATTTATAGATCTTATTATTGGTCACTAAGAATTCTTAATCTAGTAAGTATATTTACCCCATTAATATAGTTAATCACCAAGTAACTTTCAATCAATGTAATCCCTAAAAATTTAAATTGATTTTTAATTAAAATTTAAGTTAAATATCTAATACAAATATTAAATTTTATAACTAGTTTAAAGGATAATAATATTAATACTCAATTTAACTGTTTCTTGAAAATTCAATTTTAAATCCAGTAAGCTAACTGTTACAATCATCAATTGCTATAACTTCTTGCGAAACGCATGCATGATGTTCGCTCATGCTATTAGCATTGCTCATAAATCCTCTTACTCTTCTTTGAATATTCTTAACGTTGAGGGGTTCTTTTTTGACGTTGATTAAAAATGATAAAAAGGTGAACTTTCAACTCACTCACGACAGTACAAGTTGACAATATATAAAGGAAGTAGATCTTAATAAAATGTATCAAAATCTTACATAATTAATAAGAAAACTTTTATTCATTGGAATTGATTTTCCTAGATGTTTAATAAAGGTATGAAAGTCCATGGGTTTTTCCTTGCATGTGTTTTTGTCAAGCCCAAAAGGCAATTAGAAATTTGTGTTCTCTACTTCATCTATTGTCCTTGCCTTGCATATCTATTGGTGTATTTTCAAAATGAAATAATATGTCTTTCAATACGAAGAGTTGCTTCTTGATAAATTAACTATCGGAAAGACACCTCGATTCAAAGGTTATGTTTTATTATTCTAAAAAAAAAAAAGTTTTGTCTTATGATATGAAAAGTTATTTTTTTATGAGGTGACTATTAGAAAAAAAAATTACTATCCAAAAGTTACATCTTATAATATGAAAGGGTTTGTTCAAAGACAATGAAGTGGTTTAATGAAAGGATGTGTCCTTAAAGAGGAGACACTTGCAAGTCTATATAAAACTTTTTTGGCAACTACTTTAAATAATAGAGCATGAGGAGTGTGATGGACATACAAAAATTCAGAAAAAGACATAAATACTTTGAGTTCCTATTGTTTACCAAAAGTATCTAAATTCCTTATAATCTATTTGTTACAAAAAGTAGGCTTTAAGGTCAAACAATTTTACAACCTTTAGGTCATGTCTAGTGGTCTAATTAATCTGTAGTTGGAAAAAGAAGTTAGACATTAGCTTCATTGTACTCCTAAGGTTATTCGCATAATTCTCTTTTTGCAAATTGAGTGGTGGAGGTGAAATAAGCCTTAAAAATAATAACTATTATAGCACACCTTGAAGTTGAGTTTTTCGATTCTCTTTGAATTCTAAATACCCAATTTGCTCCAACAATTTTAAGGCTTATTTACATGTGTCTACAATTCAACAAAAATGGCTTCCCTATAAGAGATGGCTACCAATATTATCAAGTTAGACTACTTTGAAGGAGGAAATTTTATTCATTGTGAGAAAAAGATGGACTTCTTCCTTACAACTCTCAAGGTAACCTATCTTCTAACTACACCAAGACTGGAAAAAAGTGAAGAAGAATCTATGGACCAAATTCATTTGAGGCAAAAATTGGATTTATTTGATGTTGACAAAAAACATAGGAAAATGGTTATTCACAGGATTACCAAATAAGTTTTCTTTCCTTAATTGATTGATATTCATGATATTGTATGTGATATGCATAGTGCATCTAGATTGGTTGGCAAGAAATACTTCAAGATATTCGTTGATGATATGTCATGTTAACTTTAGAAGAATGGGTGATATGACTAATTTGGAGTTAATTCTTGATTTTCATAAAAATCTTGATATTTGTAAAACTTACATGGTTACCAAAATTGTAAGAAGTTCTTTCTTAAAGTAGAAAGAAACTCCATATTTCCTGCATTGATACATATTGATGTTTGTGATTTGCATCGTACTCCATCGATTGGTGGAAGAAATACTTCATGACATATATAAATGATTCTTCTAGATATTGCCATGTTTATTTATTGCCTTCTGAAAATGAATATTGATGGAATTTTAATAAGTTTAGAACTAGGCTAGTGGTGAAAGGCTTTACACAAAAAGAAGGTATTGACTACTTCGACACATATGCACCAGTAGCAAGAATAACTATAATTAGAGAGCTTATAACATCTGCATCAATCTATAAATAGGCAATTCATCAAATGGATGTTAAAGCAACTTTCTTAATGGCGAATTAGATGAAAAGGTGTTTGTGGAGCAACTTGAAAGGTTTGTTGTTCTTGGTCATGAAAGAAAAGTGTATAAGTTTGTTAAGTCCTTGTATGGATTAAAACAAGCATTTAAACAATAGCAACAAAAGTTTTATGAGGTTGCATTAGCTAATGGCTACGAGATTGATCAATTTGACAAATGTGTCTATAGTAAGTTTCATAACGGTCAATGTGTCATCATTTGTTTATATGTGGATTGCATGCTAATATTTGATATTGACTTGGAATAAGTGGAGGACACAAAAAAGGTTCTTATCAAAAAAGCTTGACATGAAAATATGGGTGTGACGGATGTTATTCTCAGTATAAGAATAATAAGAGATAATGATGACATAACATTGTCTCAATCTCATTCAAAAGATCATAATAAAGTTTGGCAAGTCATATTGTACACTTATATCTACTTATTATTCTAATATAAGGCTAATACCCAACAAAGACAAGCTAATAGCACAATTGGAATATGCAAGGGTAATTAGATGTCTTATTCATATTATGGAGTGTACCAAGCCAAACATTGCTTTTACGGTTGGGATGCTAAGTTGATTTACAAGTAATCCAAGTAAAGTGAATTGGTACACTGTTCATAGAGTTCTAAGGTATTTAATAAGTACAATAAACTATGGGATTTGTTATTCAAGTTTTCCTTTAGTTCTAGAAGGGTTTACAAAGGTTAGTTGGAACTCAATATCAAAAGTTGTCTTTCGATAAAGTGACTATTGAAAATTAAATACAATGATTCAAAAGTTATGTCTTATGATATGAAAAGTTGTATTTCCATAAGGTGATTATTAGAAAAACACCACTATCCAAAGTTTATGTCTTGTAATATGGAAGGGTATGTTCAAAGACAAAGAAGTGCCTTAATTAAAGGATGTGCCTTTAAAGAAGTGAAACTTGGAAGTTTATATAAAGGCCTGCTAGCAACCACTTTAAGGCGTAAAAAAATAGTGCATTAGAAATGTGATGAATTGAATGAAAATTCAAAAAAAGAAAACATAAACACTTTGAGTTCATATTGTTTACCAAAAATATCTAAATTCCTTACAATGTACTTGTTGCAGAAAGTAGGTTCTAAAGCTAAAAAACTTTACAACTTTCTAATCTTATCTAGCGGTTTAATAGACGAAGTTAGATATTGACTTTATTGTATTCCTAAGGTTATTCGTATAATTACTTTTTTACATATAGAGTGGTGGGGCAAAATAAGACTTCAAATAGAAACTATTATAAGATGCCTTGAAGTTGATTTTATCGGTTCTCTTTGAATTCCAAAACCCATTTGCACCAACAATCTCTCCCCCAAACTACATAAAAACTGAGAAATTTCATAAAACTACAAGCAATTAAGCCTAAAGGCCTTCATTATTCATCCTCGAAAGATGGTCCAAAGGAAGTAGCTAGCAATAGGTGCAGAACCGGCTTGAGAGTTATCTACAGATTTATCAGCAAACATCTAGAGGTACAAGTACATTGCAGCAGGAAGGCGCGGGCTCAGGAGAACATCAAGTGGAGTTGCCTTGGGCATGGTA